TGTGTGCTTTATTGCATAGCACTTGCTAGAATTAGGGCTAGGAGCTCCATTCGGATTTTTTGAATATCCGGATATTCGAATATCTGTTTAAAAAAATCCGAACATCCTTATAACAAAATGAACGGATATTAACCAGAAATCTGAGTAGAAAAATTAACGGATATTAACTGAATATCCTGATTTTATCCTCATATACGAATATGCGGATAGTCCCTGCCCAGTGAGAATACAAACCTCGAGATGGTTTTAGAAAGTATGGTGTATGTGTATACACCAACTAATTTCATTTATAGATGGGAAAATATGTATACTTATTTTCCGAGGCGAATACAAAATAATCTATTTCAATATGTAGGTTTAATGAAAAGAAAGTTGCAATTTCTAATTTAATATTATTTTGCTATGCGATGCAAAGTTAAGTAAGAGTGTTTAGATACATGCACTCACAGTCAGTGTGAGAAGAATTTTTTGGAAAAACGATTAAAATTAAAATGTATTTGATGTAAAGCAAGAATAAATTTACGTGATGTATAAATAAATATGTTAGAATTAAAATGAAACATAACAAAATGTTCTATAGAAATTAGTAATGGAAGTATAATAAAAACTAAGAATATTTTTGTTTATATAGGAGTAGTGTGTTTGTTTTGGAAGCCTTCCTGAATTCGATTTTCTCAAAAATTTCCCTATATTAAAAATATTTAAAAATATTTTATAACCAAAAGGGATTTTGTGGTCTTTTTTGTTCTTTGTACATTACTATAAGTTTCCTTTATAAATAAACATTTGCATTAGATGTTCAATGTATTCCACATGAAGTGCAACAATAAATATTTCATTAATGCTAATTATTTGATTTTTCTTCAAGGATAAATGAGAAGTAAGTCTAAAACCATGATTCAATTATTAAAGGATCGTGTGGCTTTTATCTAAAATTTGACACTCCCACCCACAGGGATGTTTTTTGGAAGCAGGAGGAAAAGGGGAAGAATTCAATCCCCTTCAAACAGTACCGAAGTTCCACAAAAAAGTGTAGCATTTGCTTTAATTATTTAATTGAAACCAACTTATT